TCCCAACGACACCTTTATTTATTATTTGTCCTGTGGTAGCGCCAAGAAGCCCAATCAGGGATCGGACCCTGTTGTGCTAGGTGCAGTACAAACATATGACAGAAAGACGGCCCCGCCCCAACCATTGACAATGTGTCAGAGAAGAGACAGAAGGTGGGTACAGACAGATGGGGACAGCGCAAACTGGGAGGATTGAGAGCAGCATGACAAACAGCGTTCGCAGCACACTAGTTGGCTAGCTTGGCTGGGGTTTTTTTAAAAGCTTGTCGCATCAGAAAAGAGAGGCCCAGCAGTTAGGTCATTAGCCGGAGACCTGGGTTCAATTCCTAGCTTTGCCACAAGCTCCCTGCAAGTCCCTCTAAGCCTCAGTTTCCCCATCTATTAGGTCATAAGGGAGAACAGCACTTCCCTCCCTCACAGGGCACGGTGAAGTGCTCAGACACCATAAGGCCGGACCTTTCACCAGCGCTAAGGTCCCTACATGATAACCGAGACGTGCATTTAAAAAGCGTGCCCCGATCCCACTCTCCGCCCCAACCCGATACAAAGAGTGCGTCCCTCGGAGAAGTTACTGGACCCTGACTGGGCCTGAACCCCTCCTGCCCTGCACCTGTCACAGCTTACAAAGCGAGCGTTAAATGGCACTAAATCTGCATTCTCTGCTCATTCCCCTGGGGCTGGGGGGGGCAGTATTTAACACCCCCAATCACACTGCTGCAGGGGAGTCCTGCCCTGACCGCACTCCGCTGCAGCCCCTAGGCGCCAACTCTGTGGGCATACAGGGAACACAATGCCTGTGGATTGCCTGGAGGCATAAAGCCAGCGACCAGCCCCACACTACTCCCCCTTGGAGGCCTGTCCATGTGGCTGGAGGGGTGTCAGGGGAGGGAGGAGAGGTGGCCAGTCCGCACTGCACTCTGGCTGTACTGGGCAGCTCCTTAGAGAGACACTGCAGGTGAGGTAAGTCGGAGCAGCCCCTGGGCCTGGTCTATGTTATGCCAGGGACTGCGCAAGTCCCTGGCAGCCTCCAGAATCCAGGAAGTGCCAAGCTGGCACAGAGCCCACCCTGTGCTGTGCTGAGCAAATGGACTTTAAGCGAAGAAGAAACAGCCCCTGTGTGTCAATGGTTAAGCTGGGTGGAAAGCAAGTACCTCACTCCCAGTCACACTTGGATGCTGCAGCTGACAGCAGCCTTCCTGGCGGGTGTAAAGTACAGCACAAAAGAAAACCCGCAGTCCTCTTTCTTTCCCTGGTGTTCTCAGGCGCTTTCCAAAGCCCGAGAAAGCACAACTCAGCTCTCCTGGCCAGGTTTGGACGGACTTCCCTGTCACCTCTCCCAAGTGCCGATCAGACCGCAGCCACCTGAACCCAGCCTGCAGGGGACTTCAGTGAAAGCTGGAGAAGGGGGCCGTGGCGGGCGAGATCACTCATGGCGTGAGAACTGGGTCACGGACTGCAGGCCACAGCCGGGGAAAGGCCGCTGGAGGATAAAAGAAGATCAAACCAGACACCAGGGCAAAATGAACTCAGCACTGAGCAAATCAACCTGCTTCCCCGCCTCTGGGGCCAAGTGATGCGAAAGGGAGGCCCGGCTGTGTCAGCCCAGCGCTGAAGGGCAAACTATTTCTCTGGGTTGCTACAGATCCTCCAGGGTAGGTCAGGACAAGGAGTAAGAGGCCAGGTCAGGCAGTTAAACCACAGCTAAGGAAGCCGGAGAAGTGGCAGAGAGGAATGGGGCTCCCCTCCCCCTGCCATTCCCAGTGCCCTGGTGAAGGATTGGGACGGGAGGCTGGGTTTGCCAGGATAGGCGCCTGGATGTGCTGGGCACAACCTCCCTTCGCCCCTGTACAGCTGGGCCCGCTGGCTATGAGCGGTTAGCTCGGACACTCTTGGCTTCCTTCCCCAGCTCTGAAGAGCTCGGTAGCCTCAAAGCTTGACGTTGCTCCAGTAAAACCCTTCACCCACCCCGTCTCCCTCCTATCCCAGAACCAACACGGCTACACCACCGCTGCCAACGTGCTGGGCAACACGTGTCAAACGCTACCCTAGCCAATCGGCAGCCAGTAGATCCCAGCCACCCTCCTGCCCCAGGGCCACCTGCCGGGTGTGTCCCCACTTAGAATGGGTGAGGTACCCCAGTCTGGCCAGCCCCAGAGCTAGACTCTGGGAAACGGACCCTCCCTATATACACTGGGCATCCCAGGTAACAGGCCAGCCTCCGGCACAACCAGGCGTGGGCCCGGGGATCTCCGGCTAACATGGCGGGGAACATGCACCGTGCCTGGCGCTGCGCAGAGCTGGAGACAGATGAAATGCTTTCCTGGCTATTACATTTTCACCATCCCGGAGCCCGCTTGAAAGACGACGGTCCCAGCCCAACCGGGTTTCTATTCTTCAAACCCCAGAACAAAGCCGCCGGCCCGGCCCCGCGAGAGGCGCAGCCCGGGGCTGGGGGCGAGGGGAGGGGGCCGCAGGCCGAGTTGCTTGGGGGGGTCCCGCAGGAGTTTGCAAACTGAGCCCGGCTGGCTGGGAGCCCGCGCGAGAAGCGGCCGAGACATCCCCCGGCCCGCCCCCCCAGGACAGGGGTACCAGCCGCCTTTGGAAAGCGCGTTCTCTGTGCCACGGACCGGGCGTTTCCACGGACCGGGCGTTACACAACCGCCCACCGGCGCATCTCCGCGGCCGCTCCAGGGAGACCAGACGGGTCCCTTCCCCACCCCCCGAGCTGTGCCGACGGGCGGCTCCGAGAGCGATGCGATTGGTTTGCAGCTGGAGTCGCCGGGCTGTCCCCTCTCTCCTCTGCCCAGATGTTGCGCGGCAGAGCCCCGGCGTCTGCATGGCCAGGCGGGAGCCCAGCGCCCGGCACCGTGTGTGTGTGTGTAGGGCGGAGGGGGGTCTGCTTCCCTGCTACCAGGATAGCCTTCACCCTGGGGGCTCGCTGGCCGTGCCCCCCACTCTCCCGAGGCAGGATTGCGCTGGGTGTCGCACGGGGGAGGTTGCAATGCGATCGCGGGGAAATTGGCAAACACCCCGGCCCCAGCGTAGGGCTGGTTTGTTTAAAAACCACCCCGGCCGAGCAGGGGGGCGAGGAAAGGGGCATTGAGCAAATCAGCCACCTGAACACCCCCCACCCGCTCTTCCCAGCCGGAGAGGAGGAGGAGGAAGCCCCGCAGCGGGGCAGGGCAGCTGAGCCCCAGGAAAGGGCGGGTTGAGATTTAAGAGCCTCTTGCCCTGGGCTGACGCCGTGCCCGGGCAGTGCGGAAAGGAAAAGGGGTGTGTGTGTGTGTGAAGGGTCGGAGGTCAGCGAATTGCAGGGGAGGGGGACACTGCTGCCAACCCCCCCCCAGTCTCAGACCACCAGCTCCGGCGCGCTTGCCCGCCCCCAGGCCAAGCCTTTGTGCGCCCGTCCCTTTAAACCGAACTCAGTCCGGATAGGCGTGTAAACCTCCCCCCACCTGCAGCTCCGGAGTGGGGACTCTTGCAGGAGTAGAAAGCCAGCAGCTCTCCTGCCGGGGGGTCCGTTCTCTGACCCGGGCTCTGCCCCCCCCCCGCACACGTTTGTAAATCACTCGGGCGGGTTTCATTTCCACGCACGCAGAGTTGGCGCCGGTTGTGTTTGCCCGGGACTAACCCCGGCCCCCGGCTCATCAGCCGCAATCGGCGGGTTATTATTCGTAACTAGCGCCGCACAATGCGCCCTGATTGTCGCTCCTCTCCGCGCCGGGGAGCGACTGGCAGCGCCAGAGACCTGCCTCCTGCAGCCACCAGCCGAAGGGGAAGGATGGGGCTGGCATGAAACAACCCCCCCCCACAAAACACCCCCCCTTGCAGCCCCCAAACCCCAACGAAACAACCCTCCCAAACAACCCCCCTTGCAGCCCCCAAA